ATAATTTATTTTTAATTTAATTAGATTCTGTGTTAATTAGTTTAGTATAAAACTTTGTTAGTAATCGTTATTGTTTTTAGAATTTTTTAAGTATTTAGCAATTATTTTGTAATACCCAAATTTATTTAATTTTAAATTAAATTAATTAAAAATATAATTTTTTAATTTTAATTTATGTAAAAATGAAGGAAATGTGATGTATGATGAAATTGAAAATAATTTAGAGAAAAATTGGTGAAATTTTGGATTCTGGAGGTATTTTTGAAAGAAAAATAAAAAATCCGAGGTGTAACGACTCCGGAAATCCAAATAAAAATATATAATAATTTAAGTGCGGAACCAAAATAAAATGCTAAAGTTTACATTCCTTACATAATAACTTAAAAGTACTAAATAATATTACAGAATAAATTCTCTGAATGAAATACGAAAAACCAAAACTCATTGGCGACGGGACTCTCCGGTGCGACGACTCCTCAGGCTCACATTGCAGTTGCGTGTTTCGCTTCGGTCAATCTGTAGAGAAGAAAACGGTGATCACAACAGTGAAAAAATTACGCGAAACGAGAATCGGAAAGGGCTTCATCGGAGGCAGTTTGTGAAATTCCCTGCGGTGGTGGGACCGGGCTTCGTCGGTATTTTTTGGCCAATTGGTCAATCATTTCACTCCGATTTGGCTATGGGTGAGCTTAAAATTGAATTTCATGCAAAAAGAAAAGTTTTTGCCTTTTTTGGCGGTTAGAAAAGTTCTGATGCGGCGGCGGGTAGCGATGGTCGGCTCCCCGATGGCTGAGTCATCTTCTCCGACGAGGGGTTCTAGCGGTTAGGGTTAGGGTTTGGTGCGGATGGGGTTATTTATAGCCATCCGCTTTTTATCTGGGTCATCCATCGCGTTTGATCTGAACCGTCCGATCGTGATTAAATAGGGAGTAAATCTGGATCGTTTATTGCGATCCAATATGGGTCGTCCATCGCGATTTACTATGGGCCATCCGATCGTTTTTAATCTGGCCGTTCGATTGTGTTTGGAAGGGAGCACATCTGGGCCGTCCATGCGCGCGGGAACAGACCTCAGTCGTTCGATCGCGCGCATGCGAATCGCCCACGTGGCCCCCGCGTGGCCTCCCGCGTTAGCGCCTCTGCCACTTGGCGTGTTCTAGTTGGTGGGGGTTGCTGACCAGGCGTCTGACGTGGTAAGTTTTTTCTAAATTATGTTTTGACCTCCGATTTTCAATTTTTCTTTCAAAAATACCATCATAATCCAATTTTTCACCCCTTTTTCTCAAAATTGTTTTCAGTTTAATCTTCCATCAATTTTACTCCATCTTTTTCATTAAAATAAAATAAAATAAATATAAAAAAATTATATTTATTAATTATAAAAAAAAAAAGATTTTGATGGGTGTTATAACTCTCTCCCCCATAAAAGAAATTTGGTCCCTCAAATTTGTCTCTCACTCTCAATCAAATAGCTGGGGATACTGGACTTTAAAGTATGATTCTAACTCTCATATAGCCTCATTCGGTGTGTGGTTCTATCATATAACCTTTATAAAGGAAATTTTTTGGTTGCGAACTAATCTGCTCTTTCGATCTACAATGTCGACTAGTACCTCATTGTAGGATAGATCCTCCTGTAGTGGAAGAGACTCGTGGGCCAAGACATGAAAGGGGTCCGGGTTGTACTTGCGTAGCATGGACACATGAAACACATTGTGGATCTTGAAAAGTTCTAGATGCAGTGCTAGTCTGTAGGCGGCGGTACTAATTCTGTCTAAAACTTCAAATGGTCTAATAAATCAGGATTTCAGTTTTTCCCTCCTGCCGAATCTACTAAATTTCTTGAAATGAGTAACCTTAAGGAACACCCAATTGCATTTCTCAAATTTCAAATCTCTCATCCGGGTGTCTGCATAACTCTTCTACCTGCTCTGAGTGGTCTGAATGTTCTTCCTGATCTTAACTATTTTGGATATAATCTCCTCTACCATATCTAGACCGAATAGTTTTCTATCGCTCACTTCTTCCCAACAAATCGGCGATCTGCATGGGCGCCCATATAACGCCTCATACGGAGCCATGTCAATACTCGCTTGGTAACTGTTCTTGTAGCGAGCTCTATCAATGGTAGATGGTCATCCTAATGGCCCCCGAAGTTAAGGATACAAGCTCGGAGCATATCCTCAAGTATATAAATTATCTTTTTTTATTGTCCATCGGTCTGAGGGTGGAATGTTGTACTAAGGGATAGCTTCGTTCCCATGGCTTGTTGAAAACTATTCTAAAATCGAGAAGTGAACCTGGTTTCTATCGAACACTACTGTCACTGGCACTCCTTGCAATCTGACTATTTTTCGAATATACATTCTTGCTAACTTATCCAAAGGATCGATCATCCTGATGGCCAAGAAGTGGAAAAACTTGGTAAGCCAGTCAACAATTACCCAGATGACTTCATATCTTAAGTGTGCCTTAGGTAATCCTGTCACGAAGTCCATAGTGATATCTTCTCACTTCCATTCTGGGATCGGTAATGGCTGAAGTAGCCCGCCTGGGCATTAATGCTCTGTCTTGACATGTTGACATACCAAACACTTAGGAATAAAGTCAGCTATATCTTTTTTCATCCTGTTTACCAAATCGGGGTCGCATATTTTGGTACATTTTAGTGCTTCTGGGATGCATTGCAAACTTTGAGTTATGGGCATCTGTCATGATGTCCCTTTTTAACTCGCTGTCACCTGGAACACACACCATGTCCTGGAATCTGAGCAACCCATCGACAGAGACACAAAATTCTAAGTTAACTCTATGTTATGCATATCTCTTGAGGGCTACTATGACAGAATCGGCAAACTGAGCTTCCCTTATTGTCTGGATTAACTCAAGCTGAATGGTCAGGTAACCCAAATATGTGATTTCTCTCAAGTCCTGAAGCCGTACTTGTTGTGTGGCCCCAATCTGTCTGCATTCTGAAACCATCAAATGGGGTAATATGCCTGTACTTTTTCTACTGAGTGCATCGGCTACCACGTTGTTCTTACCCGGATGACACAAGATGTCGCAATCATAGTCCTTAAGAAGTTTTATCCACCTTCTCTGATGCATGTTGAGATCCTTTTGAGTGAATATGTGTTTCAAACTCTTGTAATCGGTATAGATCTGAAAGGTCTCTCCATACAAATAATGGTGTTAAGTCTTCAAGGTGTGTATGATTGCGCTAAGCTCTAAGTCATGGGTGTGATAGTTTTTCTCATGACTCTTCAACTGTCTAGACCCATAGGGTATGACATTCCCATGCTGCATTAAAATACAACTCAGGCCTAGATAGAAGGCATCACTGTAAACTATATATCTCCCCGATCCATTCGATAAGGCCAGCACAGGTGCAGTAGTCAGCCGCTTATTTAGTTCTAAAAATTTTCTTTCACAGTCCTCATTCCACTCAAACTTGACATTCTTCTTTATAAGTCGGGTCAGGGGAACAGCTAGGCTAGAAAATCCTTTCACAAACCTGCAGTAATAGCCCGTCATTCCCAAAAAGCTATGAATCTCCTTAACTGATGTCAATTTCTCCCAGTAGAGTACTGCTTCAACCTTTTCA